TTCTTCTTCTTCTTCTTCTCTTTCTCCTTCTCCTCCTCCTCCTTCTGCACCTTCTCTCCTTCATCTTCTCCTCCTTCTTCCTCTTCCTCTTCCCCCTCCTTCTCCTTCTCCCCATCAGCATTTCTCCTCCTCTTCCTCCTTCTGCACCTTCTCTCCATCTCCTCCTCCTTCTCCTTCCTCTTCCCCCTCCTTCTCCTTCTCCCCATCAGTATTCCTCCTCCTCCTCCTCCTCCTCCTCCTCCTCCTCTCCGCAAACCCCACTCCCTTCTAGGATGGGTGTTGAATATCCAGATCGGCTTTCAGCCAAAACATGGCTTGCATAAAACCTCTCCACCCTCCCCGATAATATTTTCTCTCTGTAGCAAACATTTGATCCTATGCTTCACCTCTCCATTGTTCTCTCTCGTCCAAAACTTTCTAAAAATTGTGCTTTGTTTTTTTTTTTAAAGGGCAGTGCATTTTTACCCAGATGAACATGGCAGGCAAACATTTCTCCACATTTTGAAACGTTCGTGGCCTCCCAGCTGAAAGACTAGTGATTAAACGACATATTTGATCCTTTGTTCAAATCCCTAGCAGAGGTCTATATGATAAACACCGAAAGAGCTACAATTTCAATTGCAAATCTTGCTTAATTTTTCCATGCTGGTAGATTGTTCTTTTCACTATTTTCCATGTTAGGTCCTCAGTCCAGTTGACCCAGCTGCCAGTTCATATTAGTGGATTTATTCTGGAAGAACATGGTTGCAATCATTTTTTTTTTGACCCAAATTGTGTGAAACAGCTGGTTAAGTCTCATCCTTACAATAAACTAACAGTTTCTAAGGTTTCCAGAAACAAAGGTGGCCTTTGAATCGGCTACAACAGCTGGAGGAGTCCATTAGGGTCTCTCAGCTGCCCTTGCAGAACAGAGAAGGGCGGTAATAGAATATTTTAAGCGTTTAGTAATTCCGGATTTGTCATGTTATAGAAAGATGTCTGTGTCTTGGGAGGGACGGGAATATTGCAGAGGTAGTTCTTGATTTACCACCATTTCTTTTCGTAACCGTTTGAAGTTACAGCAACATAGGAAAAAGGGGTCTTACAACTCATTTTTCATACTTAACAATCTTTTGCAGCATCCCGGTGGCCACATGATCAAAATTCGGACGCTTGGAGGTCATCTAGTCCAACCCCCTTGGTTGTCCAATCTCTTCTTAAAAACTTCTAGTGTTGGAGCATTCACAACTTCTGGAGGCAAGTTGTTCCTCTGGTTAGTTGTTCTCACTGTTGGGAAATTTCTCCTTAGATCTAGGTTGCTTCTCTCCTTGATTAGTTTCCATCTATTGCTTCTTGTCCTGCCTTCAGGTGCTTTGGAGAATAGGTTGACCCCCCCCCTCTTCTTTGGAGCAGCCCCTGAGAAATTGGAAGACTGTTATCATGTCACCCCAGTCCTTTTTATTCACTAGACTAGACATTTTCATAACAGAAAATGTGGTAAAGCCCATTTCGAAATGGCTTCCAGTTTTGACCAACTTGGAAGCGTGGCTGAGATGGAATTTAACGTCCTTGTGTCCTTTTATGGCCGAGCCATAAAACCATATTTAGCAAGCTTCAAAGACTTGAGTTCACATATCCATTGAAGGCATGGTTTCATTGACACGTTTTTTTTCATCAACCATAATAGCTGGCTTGCCGGACACCATCAGCCCAACCGTGATAGACGAAGCCAACCATTTTGTTTTCTCGCTCTCCTTCCGGGTCCATCCCTTCATAGCAGGTGGTCCTTCCTCCTCCAGGCAGTTCTGGTGGGGGGGGGGGGACGAAGTTCGATGCGTCCCCACAAGAGTGACCATTTCACTCCCTGCCACCTGGTGTCACTGTATTCAAGACCATGCTTTTATTGTTAGACTATTTTTTTTAAAAAACAACAACAACCCAAAGCAAAGATGTATTTGGAGACCCGTCGGTCGTCAGAAACCCCAAATACGCGGCTGAAACTTTAGACTGCCATTGTGAAGATCAGAAATACAGAAATACATTCCGCTTTGCTTTGAAGACGTTTCATCCCCACTTCTCATTGTGCCGAGCTGCTCAACAGCTTGATGACAGGACATGATCTGGTGGCCCAAGGATGTTCAAGACACCCTGAGTCAGCCTGAGGTTGCATTTTGGATGTTCCAGTCATCGTATCCTCCTTCTGCTGCCCAGGATGCCAGGATATCTGTTACGGAACAAACACAGCTAGCGTAACCCTCCAGCTACGTAGGTGGATGCTTTTGTGTGAAGGCGGAGGGAAGAGAACTTTAGCAGGTGGCCACGAGGAAGGCAGCTTGGAGTCACATCTGGAGAAATGAGCTGTTTGCTCTGCATTCCTGCAGCTGTTTGGCCTGCCTGGTTCTGCTTTAAACGTTCAGAGCGGTGGCTTTTCCTACCAGATCATCTGCAACTCTTCTTCCTTCCCCCCAACACGTGTTCAGAAGCAAGCCCGGGTGTTCCCTTCTGCTGACACCAGGCGTTCAGATTAGTGGGTCTGCCCCCCAGGGATGGGCTAGAAGCTTGCCTACATGTCCTCTCTCAAGGTGGAGGCTTGAGAACATGGCTAAAACAGATGGGAAGGCCTAAATGTCCCCTCAGATGTATGAGGAAAGAAGGAGGAGGGGTGTGTGTTTATGAAGTTTCACGGCCCAAAGAGCTAGATTTTGGCCTGGAACTTGTGCTGGCTTCTCCCAGATGGGGGCAAAGTGTCTTGTATTAACGGAAGACCTGGCTGCAGCTGCAAACATCTGTTTCTTTCGGAAATAGCAAAGCCTTTAGGAGAGGCTTCGTCATCGGCAGACGGGGCACCAAACTGCTTTGCAAGGCTTCCAACTTCTCAAAGGGGCAAAGGGTGGGAAAAGGCTGCTCTTGAGATCCTGCTGCTGACCGGCCAACAATGACAGGGCCTGTGGGCTCATAGATTCATTTGCTGAAAGCTTGTTTCATAAATCGCTTATCCTGTCAAGGCTTCATCCCAGTGCTATGTGAGTTTTTGAGAACCAAGCGCTTCCTTTTTGGCTTTTGAGGGTCTGCATTCCCCAAATTGAGCAGGAAGAGGGAAATAGGTCTCCTAGTCTTTGGGACTAAAGCATAAGTAGAACAATTAACCCGTGGAACAACCTGCCTCCAGAAGCGGTGAATGCTCCAACACTGGAAGTTTTTAAGAAGAGACTGGACAGCCATTTGTCCGAAATGGTATAGGGTTCCCTGCCTGAGCAGGGGGTTGGACTAGATGACCTCCAAGATCCTTTCCAACATTATCATCATCATCATTATCATCATCATCATCACCATCATCATCATCATCATCATCATCATCATCATCATCATTATTAAGTGGAAAAGTGACCCTGGGCTTCCCCTGTTCCAATCCATTGTACGGGTAGTCCTCGACTTACATCAGTTCCTTTAGTGAACCATTCAAAGTTACAACATCTGAAAAAAAAGTGACTTATGACCCTTTTTCACATTTCACCATTTTGCAGCATGAGGTGATCAAAATTCAAACGCTTGGCAACTGACTCATATTTTTCCCTTCCAACTTTATTATTATTGTTGTTGTTGTTGTTGTTATTATTATTATTATTATTATTAGAAATCGTATCATTAAGTCTGTTGATCCCAGAGCCCAAGAGTGCCTTACTTCACATATAGCAAAGAGAGCAGCACTTCCTGGAATAACCAGGTAACCAGGCAGCATTGCATGGATGCAGGATCATTCCAAGAAGCTCAGTGGAGACAGAAAACTCTGCGTAAAGCGGGAAAGGGAAGCCAGAATAACAGAATGACAAAATAACAGAGTTGGAAGGAACCTTGGATGTCATCTGGTCCAATCCCCTGCTCAAACAGGAGACAAATAGCTGTCCAATCTCTTCTTAAAGGCCTCCAGTGATGGAGCACCCATGACTTCTGGAGGCAGGTTGTTCCACTGGCTAATTGTTCTCACTGTCAGGAAATTCCTCCTTAGTTCTAGGTTGCTTCTCACCTTGGTTAGTTTCCATCTGTTCCTTCTTGTCCTGCCTTCAGGTGCTTTGGAGAATAGCTTGACTCCCTCTTCTTTGGGGCAGCCCCTGAGATATTGGAAGACTGCTATCTTGTCCTCCCCCCCCCCAGTTCCTTCTTTTCACTAATCTAGACAGACCCAATTCCAATTATGTACTGTAGCTAATAAACTAAGCAGGACCGGCTGTTGCATTAATATTTTTAAAAAATTCCTCTCCTTTTCTGCATATCAAAAATCAAGGTATAAAAATTAAAAAAAGGGGGGGGATTGTCATTCTGCTTTGTCCTCCTGCTTTGCCAAGCCACGTTCTTCTCGGGTTGATGTTGGGTGCTTATTGCTAACTCCCAAACTCGGTTTCGGCCAACCATCCCTTGCGGCAAAAGTCAACTTGAATGAAGTCTCTGAAACTCTTATGAGCTGAAAATATCCCTGTGAATCATTTCCTTAAACATTCACATCTAGAATCTTTTCCGCTTCGCAACAGTCGGGCTTTTATTGCTGCGTTAATCACTTTCTATTTTTTCTCTCGGCATTACTACATTCTTAGATGCTTCCTTTACTGTAAGTAGTCAGCGGTCACAATGGGAGGTGGACCTTGGCGTGACCTGCACAGATTTTATTTGGATTAACCCGTTCTGGAAGGAGACAAGTGTCCTCTTGGGAATCGTAGTTAACTTTCAGAAAGCCACAATCACTTTCAAAGCCCTATATGGCTTGAATCTGGGTTATTCCCGAGAATATCTGCCTCGGTTGGCTTTTATTTCCTCATTTCTTTACTATATTAGGTTTTTATTTTACCTTTATTACTTTGTAAGTAACTCAAGGTGGCGAACATACCTAACGGCAA